TGTGTGTGTGTGTGTGTGTGAGAGAGAGAGAGAGAGAGAGAGAGAGAGAGAGAGAGAGAGAGAGAGAGAGAGAGAGAGAGAGAGGGACACACTTCGCCACGCTGGCAGCCTGCCCGTTCCATTTTTGGACCGAGTGTGAACGGAACTCTCCACCCCTTCACCCACAACATCGCTGAGAGAGAGAGGGTACACATCGCCACAGCCCCACAGCGGCCCAATCTGCCTGTTTCGTTTTTTTCTTGTGTTTTGTTGTTCTGTTCGTCTGGATTCAAACTTGGGCGTATATTGCAATAGTTAAAGGGTCCACCAACTGAGGTAGCCAAGTCTTCCTCTGTCTACTCTGGATCGTCGTCCTCCCTCTTCTCTTCCAGTCCGTTCCTTCTTGCCTCCAGTTCGTCATTTATCCCCCTTCGGCCTGTTGTACACAGAAGATTAGCATTTGAGGAGGGGGGGGGGAGAACTTCGATCAGCTGAAATGCATCTGGCGCACAAAGACGCCCAGATGCGTGTCAAATGTCGAGTAACGATGGCGGTGATGATCGCCTTTGCTTTCCATTTGTGGACCTCCTCCCACCACTTGTCATTCTCTCCATCCTGTCGCCACTCCTCCTTCCTTTTATAGTTGTCCGCCTCTTTCCTCCTCTTCCCACTCACTCACCTCCTTCCCTTCCTCATCCCGCTCCTCCTTCGGCCACTCCTCCCCCTCCCGTTTGTTCTCTTCCCACTGCAACTCGTCACAGTCCTCTTCTCATTTATCAACCTCCAGCTGCCGCTTCTCGTCCTCCTCTCTCTGCTCCCCTTGGTCATCACTTGCTTGGTCCGTCCTGTCATGCCGCCCTCCTCCCGTCCCTCTTACCACTCGTGTTGTGTCCTCTCCCTCCTCATCGCCCTCTTTCCCCCACCACTCGGCGGGATGGAAGCTGGAGGCGGGGCGGGAGCCCGATCATGTCGCTCCTCTCCTCCCGTCCCTCCTGCTCCCGCTTCCGCCACCTGTCGCTCATCGTCTGACTTGTCCTCCTCGCGCTTCTCATTCGCCCCGCTACTCCCACTCCTCCGGGCGTGCGTCATGCCCGTCTTCCCGGTGGTCGTCTTCCCCCTCATCGTGGTCTTCCTCCCACCACCCCTCCTTCCGTTCGTTGTCCTTCCCCGGTCCCGTTCATCGTCTTCTCGGGAGAATGGTGGGACGGAAGGTCCTATTGCGATTCTCCTCCGGGGAACTCAACAATGTCTTCCCGCACACTACGGGAAGATTCGTCGCCAGAAAGAACCAAAGGAAAAAAGGGGCCCATGGAACCAACGCGGTGGATTCGGCTTACACTGTGAGCATACGGGGCCCGCCATTGCTATGTACTTGTATAGGAACATTTGAGATGCGGACACCTTCCCTTCCCAGGTGCCGCACGGCCCCCCGGTATTGCCTCCCCGCCCACCGGTATCGCCTTCCCCCACGATTTTTTGCCGCCTTTGGTACCGCCTCCCCCCCGATTTTTTCTGGGCCCGCAGCCAACCGCCCACCGGTATCGCCTCCCCCCACGATTTTTCAGCCCCTTGGGTAGCCTGCCCCCCGATTTTTTCTGGGCCCGCAGCCAGCTTGACGCAAGGCCCACTTTTACTTTCAGTAGGATTGGCAATAATCTGACGAAGTACCTGAGACCAGGCCCTCTTGACGCAATCGAGTAATAGCACTCTGTGTCCGCTTACGCACCGTGCACCATAACCATATAGTTGCTTCACAAATGAAGGATTTCGTGCAACAGAATGAATCAAAGAACTAAACACTGTCTAGGAACCTGCCTCTTCTTCGAAAGACAGGACCCCACCCACCATATGTGAGTCTGCGAGGGAAACAACGGAGTCATTGTTGATGCCGAAACACTCGTACATGCACACATGATAATTGAAACGTGGGTTGATTGTTCTGGAATGTAGTCCAGAAAGATGTAATCCTCAGCTACATTGTCTTTCTTCAATTTCAATTCTATTTTGTCTGTCCATCCTGCACGTGTGTGTGCGGCAGCTTGATGAATGATAAAATTTAATTTATTAAAAAAAAAACAATAATCAGAGTTGTCGAACGGGCTCAGGTGTAACAGCAAGCGGACCACCTGTCTCACTTTCTCTGCTCCCGTCTCCTCCGGGAGCTGTTCTCATCTTCGAAAGACAGGACCACGTCCGCATTCGAGGCTGCAAGGAAAAATCCAAAACATCATCCAGAGAGAGAGAGAGAGAGAGAGACTACTTGGTGATGATGATGGCGCCAATGACCATAACAGGTTATAACTGGAACTTGGTCCTTGTATAATACCAACCGCTTGGAAGTGTATACATCTCGGTGAAAAAAAAAAAGAAAAAAAAAAGAAAAAAAAGAAAGAAAAAAGGAAGTGTAATAATGTATACATCTCGGTGTGCGCTAACCTGCCATCTCGGTGCTTGAATGAAAAAATGTTCTGTGAGTTTCTTTTTCTTTCTTTTTTTTTTTTTTTTTTTTTTTNTTTTTTTTTTTTTTTTTTTTTTTTTTTTTTTTTTTTTTTTTGTGAGTTTCGGTGTGCTGCAAGTTGCGATTCAGGGTTGAATTCGAATTGGTTTATTGCAGAAGAAAGGATCATTTTAAATCATTAAATTTAAGTGGAAAGCGAATATAGCACGAGGACAGGAGGATGAGGTATCGCACGAGGTCGCCTCACTGCAACGCCTGTCAGCCAGCCTAAGTCTTGAGCCCGGGAACAGCTTGAAAAGAGGGGAAGCAGTAGATCAAGCGTAGAACTCAAGGGGTTAGTGGACAGTCTCAAAGGGAGGACTCAGAGGATATGGCCAGGGTTCTCCGGTACCTCAGACTGGGTAAGGGGGCATGCGGAGGAGCATGTGCTCAACTGACAGTCAATCCGTCGTGTGAGAGAAATCAAAGCAATCAGTGTTCCCCAGGCTGTAAGGCACGGAAGCATACATAGTGTTTATAACTTTATGTCTCGTTTATGACTTGCGGTCGGAACAGGATCAAGACTGACATTGTCCTTCCCGACATCTGTTAAAATTGGAATGGTACAGAGAGTCCAAATTAGAAAAAGAAGAAGGATGCGGACTGACGCTCGCCAGAATGGATATGGAGGTGCAGTGTAGTCCCCCGTACGTCGTACGGGAGGTCTTGGTATGGTCGTGTCCCGGCCGAACCTGCCAGGGCCTGGTGGGGGTTGTGGGGGGGGGGGTTGACCCCCTGAGGAGGTAGGGGGGATGGCAGGGACGCCCCCCAGTATTCCAAAAAAAGAAAGAAAAAGATTGATTATTGATTGATTGATTGATTGATTGATTGATTGATTGGTGTCTGTGTGTGTGCACGCCGGGGGGAGGCGACCTCCCCACAACCTACCAATCAATCAATCTATAAAAAATATATTTATAAAAAAAAAAATCCGTGTGCGTGAGAGTGTGTGTGTGTGTGTGTGTGTGTGTGTGTGTGTGTGTGTGTGTGTGTGTGTGTGTGTGTGAGAGAGAGAGAGAGAGAGAGAGAGAGAGTCTTCCGTCCTGTGCTGTGTAGCAGCAGAGGGTTGACTTCTTTTAATAAGATACGGAATTTTCGACTTTTCTCGTTTTCAATATTTTGGTGGTTTCCCCCTCGTATGATTTCATCACTTTGCAGTTGTGAAAATGCCTAGCAGGTTAACTCAGCACAAGCATGTGAATTAGCAGGCAAAAAATAAAAATAAAAATCCCGAAAGGTTTCGCAAAGTTTTGGTACTTCAAATGGGATGGATGACACAGTTGCGTGAGCACCGACTAAGTGGTTGCTTTGTTTGGACTTATGAAAATGCCTCGCAGGTAATCTCAGCACAAGCATATGTTTTTGCTCTTAAACCACCAGTAGGCCACTATAGGAGCGCCGAATTTCATCTGACTAGAAAAAGGAAAAAGAAAAGAAACGAAACGAAAAGAAAAAACAAGGGGTGACTTGTTCGTGTTCACTACACTGCATCTGTTACATGCTGCGCCTGAAACGAGGCCATTTTCAGGCCCTGTGTTGTTTTCAGCCTAAAAGTCTGAAAACAAGGGCCTACAGGCCCTGTGTCGTTTTCAGCCTAAAATCCCGAAAACAAGGGCCTACAGGCCCTGTGTCGTTTCAGCCTGAAAGCCTGAAAACAAGGGCCTACAGGCCCTGTGTCGTTTCAGCCTAAAACAGGGCCCTCAAGGCCCTGAGTCTTTTCAGCCTGAAACGGAGGGCCA